GTCATGATGTAAATTAACCAAGTATTACAATGATCTGTTACCTTTTAAATTTGATTATTGCATTGAATCTTGAAATAAACAGAACCCAAAAGTGAAACTCAAAGAAACTACATTCAAAAATGTATTAACTTACAATAAAAGTTGTGATAATCTAATGTGAAAGTGTTAAAAACAAAAAAGACACACTGTGCCTCCTATTTAACACAAATATTATTCTGCCATCTCTGACCAGGTAAATCGTTACGCTTTAAAAAAAAAAAAGTTGACAGTTTGTAACGTTCCCTGAATGACCAACATGATTCAGTTCAGTTCAGTTTATTTATGAAGCGCCAAGTCACAACAGATGTCATCTCAGGGAACTGTTCCAGGTGGCTCCATTAAGAACCAGTTCTGCTCAGACCAGTTCTTCCTCAAAGGGTTCATAAATCACAGGTGAAGCGTCCACGTCCCGCTCAGGTGTGAGCTTTAAGCAGAACAAAAAGAGGCGGAGCAGAACTCAGCTTTAAAAATAAAATAAAACAAACTAGAACCAACTTTCAACCAGTTTGACACGACTGTCAACAAGGAAGAGGGCCGGCAATGGGGGAGGGGGCGTGCCAAAGAGACCACCTTAGCACCAACATAACTGGTTTGTTCCACTTTGGAGTAAGCTGTTGGAGGAAGAATCAGTTTTGTGTTGCGTGTTACCTTGACTGATGAAGCCTTCTGGATCGAAGGTGAAACGTTTCAGCACAACAACAAAAAAAGAAACTGTCCAGGTGACCTGACTGAAAGATGTTGGATAGAACCAACTTTGTTTACAGGTTGTTTTTCTTAAACAGACGGATAGATTTGTTATCCACTAAGACTTGTGGTTGAGGCAGCATCATTTTCTGTCATTTAGCATCAGCATCAATGACGAGCTCTGGTATTCCAAGTTTTCTGCATCCAGTTAGCATAAACACATTTCCACATGCTAACGTCATATAAACATTTTAGCTGTAGTTCACGGCTATGACTAAAACGTAACGTGGTTCCAGAAGCTTAACAATGAGTTTTCAAGTTTAACTTTAAATTTTCATGATCATCAGAGGGAATGGAGCAAGTTGTATTATAAGACATTTGTCACTGGTCTGGTACTGACTTACTGTATATGGAAGAAAAACAGAACAATAATACTTTGACTGGTACATTTATACCAGTTGTTACATTTCCTGATCTAAATGCTGTGACATTGATTATGTTGACTAAAGACAGTTTTTAGCCTCTGTTTTGTCAACTGGAGTCCCATCTGTCGAAAGGAAATGTCTTTGAGTGAACCAGTATCTATTATGGAGTTATCAAAACGAAGTAGTAATGCTGTGATTTTACAAAAGTCCCACCTTGAGTGCCTATTATTTAAGAGCAAGTCTACCTCAGTGACAAATTTCCCGAGAGCTATATTTTCATATTTAGGTTACAACTTTCTTACATCTGTCGAGACATTGTTTTGTCTGAAACCCACCAGGACCATCACTTCCCCCACTCCTGCAGTGCATCCCCAAATCCTTCTGCTTCTCAAACCTGTAATCCCTAATCCCAACTACTCGTCATTCAAGTACATTAGTGAATTATTTCTTTAAACCCAAAGAGGGAGCGACCCTAAAGCAGCTTTTTTGCACGAGTCGACGATGCCCCCCCTCAGATGAAGTAATCAGCTGGAGGATCCAGCCAATCGAGATTCGTTTTGTTTTAATCAGCAGACCCTTTGAGTTTAGTTCATCTTGTAGTGTTCAAACGTTCAGAGTGTGAAGTCATAGTGCAGCAGTAAAATGTTAGATACTTGGCTGGAAGTGAACTGAACCACAGCCAGAACACAACTGGAAATGTTGCCTTCTTACTGTTTTTATCACCCCATATTTTCAGTTTTTCCCTGTTTTCACACCTAGAGTTTGTGTTAAATCTGTTTCCCAAACTTAGTCAGTGCAGATTTCCCTGCTGCAACACATCTGATACAAAGATTTAATAGTTCTGCAGGAGCCTTTTGCTGACCCAACAAGTTAAATCAGGTTTGTTGAAGCAGGAAAAAATCTCAAACTGGGGGGTAAGGGTGACCAAAGAACCAGAATAACCTGCGGTCTTACTGGGTTAGGGTTGAATCTTTAGTTTATGAGATGTGTCGGTGGGTTGCAATAGACAAAGCTTTTCCTTAGTTTACACATTTCCCAGAAGAAATTGATAAGTCGTCCTGTTTTGAGGCCAACCGGGGAGACAGATTCAGATAATTCACAATTGTTGATCTATTCAGGCAGACTATTTTTCTTGTCAGCTTTCGAGTCTGTACTGATACTTCCAAGGTCCGAAATGGTCAGATTAGGGTGCATTCTACTGGTCTGTGCTTACGAGCCTCTTCAAGGTCGTTTTCATGCTGACAGGTCCCAAAGCTGCAGGTGGCCTGCGATTCAAATCACATTCAACTTACGGTTTAGCTCGTAAATCAGCTGATTTTGAGTCCGCCAAGCACGAACCAAACCTTCACATAGGCAGCAACCTGACGAGGGCCAAATTAGCTGCGGCCTTCTTCTTTGTATATTGATAAGCCAGGATCCAAACTACTCCAAAAACAGGAAACCTGTTATCATAAATCCAATTATATGCAATTTTGGCGTCCTTGATCGACAGCAGAGGTTGACACATCACCCCCAGAGATATATTCAGCTGCATGCGTGTCGTCTGAGCAGATGAGGGTTCTCCAGGACACTGTCGCTTTGTTGAAAATATTTTGTCATTTGTGTCGAAAGTCCAGTTGGTCAGAACCAAAACAGTAGTTTTCATTTTGGAAGATGTGTAAAAAAATAGGAGCTGCTCCAATACACAGACAGAGAGCAACAATGCAGGAGGAGAACAGGGAGAGGGAAGAATTGCGTGCGCCTCGTTAAAGAGCCAGTGAGGGAAAAAAAAAAATCAGCTTTATTTTCACATTTGACTGCAAAGTGGCCATCTCTGCAGTTTGAAGCAGTTTTACTCTGTTTTGTCTTGGTTGCTTTGATTACCACCCATTCTTCTCATGAGCACAATTGCCTAATCATAGTTCCAGACTGCCAAACTTACCATTCAACAATTGTATTGTCTTAGTTAATATAAATATAACTACACATTATGTGATGTTTTGGTTTCTAGCTCTTGTGGCTGTGCAGCAGTTATTTTGGACATACAGGCATCAGAAAGAAGCTTAGTGGACATGATGCTTAGAATGAAATTATGTTTTAAGCCCGCAGTGAGAAAAAAAGGCATTCTGATTCTCAAATATGAGCAAAACCCAATTGTTTTCAAAAAAAGAGTGACTTGCAGTGTGAGACGTTCACATTGATGTGGAGGCTTATATCAGAACTAAACAGACGCACACCAAGGTGACATCTTTTTCTAGAAGGTTTGTGGTTATTTCAGCTGAAAAGGCCACATCTCATCCCAAACCAAACATATGCTTTATGGTAACATTTTACAATAAGGTGCACAAAATTTGCTTAACTACTAGGGAACGCCTAAGGAACAAATCAGGAGTTAATGGGTAGTTAATCAATACTTACTGGGAAACACACAGCCAAGCCTTATTAAAGGACTACTGGTTAGTTACCTTGTAAATAAAGGGGAACTAATGAAGAACTAATGGGTAGTTACCAAGGAAACCAAAGAGGAACGAATCAGGAGCTTATAGGGAGTTAAGCAGTACTTACTGGGGAACACACAGCCAAACCTTATTGGGGGACTACTGGTTAATTAATTTGTAAATGAAGAGGAACTAATGAAGAACTAATGGGTAGTTACCAAGGAAGCCAAAGAGGAATGAATCAGAAGCTAATGGGTAGTTAAGCAGTACTTACTGGGGAACACACAGCCAAGCCTTATTGGGGGACTACTGGTTTGTTACCACAGAAACAGAGGAGAAATTATCCAGGTGGGTTCCGAATAAACCCTGCACCAGTGAAGTCACAGCTCATAATTGTCAAAAACCTGTTTCTTTGTGATTACTGATTTTATTACCCATTAGCTCCTGATTCGTTCCTGTTTAGTTTACTTGATAACTACCCATTAGTTCTTGATTAGTTCCTCTTAATTTACTAGGTAACTAACAAGTAGTCCCTTAATAAGACTTGGCTGTGTGTTCCCCATTAAGTACTGATTATCTACTTATTAGCTCCTGATTAGTTTTTCTTTGGTTTCCATGTTAACTACCCATTAGTTCCTGATTAGTTCCTCTTCATTTCACATGTAACTAACCAGTAGTCCCCTAATAAGGCTGGCCTGTGTGTTGCCCAGTAAGTACTGGTTAACTACTTATTAATGCCTGATTTGTTCCTGAATCGCTCCTGAGGTGTTCTCTAGTAGTTAATCACATTTTGTGTACCTTATTGTAAAGTGTTACCTGCTTTGCACAAAGCGTTTGTGTGTTTATTTGTGTGCCTGCAGTCCCAGTCTGTCTCCTGTTAAAATGTATGAAGCATCATGAGGAGAAGCTGAAACGACAAATCCTTCATTTGCTTCTTTATCTTTACTGCAAAACAACCTCACTGTGCGTGATAGTTATCTGTTTGACAAGATGTACAGAAAACAGGAACTCAAGTAGGTCTGATGCATGCAAAATACTTTTTTTAAGAAGTTCGAAATGAAACTTTGATTTTTCTTAGCATCACCTTGCTATCCTAGATTTGACTCCTGGCAGGTGTGAGTGTACACAAATCCTAGATTTCCCATCAAAAAGAACCTCTAGAAGTAAAAGGCAACACAGATCTGTCAGATAACTTTTTCAGCTTTCAGTCCAGGCTTGATCAACAAAGCTTAAGCGACAGCTTCTGGCAGGCACTTTGTTTATTTCAGCCACAACACCTGTAACTTTGACTGACTGAAGTGTAGAAGGCGTTGCCTGTTGGAGCAGTCAATACATCTGATGACAGTAGCATGGAATGAATTACAAATAAAATATTTATTTCTTTAATTCAGATTAATTGATACTAAGATTTTTTTTTATTGCTGTTTGCGTGCAGGGGCTCTCGCTGGGACCAATGATACCGAGACAGAGGACAAAGCCAACATCACCTCTCCATTTATCGAGGAGGATGGGCCAGGAAAGTTGAACGAAGTTATCACCACGGTAACAGGAATGAGCAACTCCGCCACCTCTGACCCGATCAGCACTGTGAACCCGAGAGCGGGCCGGGCACCACGTGGAGACAAGGAGGACGACCAGAGCAGCGGCATGTTCGGTGAAACGCTGGTTCCCACGGTGGAGGAAGTGAGCGTGGTGGCACCGCCTCAGATCAGCCCTGATTCGGCTGAGACGGAGCACCTGTTGCCTAGCAGTCCACATGTACCTGAAGTCATGGAGGGAGAGGAGGAGAGGGAGGAAGAGGAGGAACATTTGCCTCACACCAGCCCACCTTGGATCCCTGCCAAGGACACTGCCATGTTTGATCTGGACCACCTAACCACCACCACTGCTGCCCCACCACCAGCCACCACCAACCCAACCAACCCGTCCAATCCAGATGTCCTCCATGTAGACTTCTTTGACCCCTCCTCCCGTGGGCGTAACCTTGACCTAGACCCTCCTTCCCCTTCATCTCTGGCCCACGAGCTGCAAGGCGGCGATGCAACTTCCTGGGCAATGCCGGAAAACTATGACTACATTACTCCCTATGAAGACGGCGTGTCCCCCACTGTCGACGAATACACCTACAGCACCACAACCGATGCTTATGAGAGTGATGAAGATCTTCGAGAAGCTGCTGGGTCTCCTGCTCGTTCCAGGCCCCGGCTCCCAGGGTCTGGCTCCTTCTTCCCTGGCATTGGCATTCCTGTACCCAGCGTTCGTGGCGCGGCAAACCCAGCCCTTTCATCTAACGGGTGCAGAGCGGGCTACCAGATGGTAAATGGAAGCTGCCGCTCAGCCTGCGAGATGCAGCCCAACTACTGCTTCAATGGAGGACAGTGCTACCAGCTGGATGGGGAGGACATTTTCTGCAGGTAAGAAGCAGCATGGAAATGTTAAACACCCTTCAAAAATTCTTCATCTTGGATCTGGATTCATATTTGATAAAATAGTTGAGCAATTACATACCAATTCTTAAATTCTTTAAAAATTTCCTGAAAATTAGTTCTCAACATTTTGAGTAAATAATCAAAATAAATAAATTAAAAGTTTATAAATTCCTTTACGAGAATAATCTGGTGTCAGCAAATAAAATAAAATCTGACACTCGGTATTCTCAGCAAGGATCTGATGACACCTGCGTCCCTTTCAGCATAAAAACAATTAATTCACAAGCAAGTTATTTCTCCATTCTTTGGTTTTATGCTTAAAATTTACTTTTTCCTTTTGAAAAGTGAAGTCAACAAAACACTTAAACAAACAAAACTAATATTCACACAAAAATTGACTTTATGACTTGTAAACATTTTATTTTCTCATGAGAATAGTCACATAGTCTTTTATTCTAAGATCTGCAAACTGCAGTAAAGTTTTTCCTCTGTCAAAGTCCCTGTATTTATAACTCTAGTTTGAGGTCAAAGGTCAAACAAATAAAGGGATTTTTTTTAATATATATATTAAGAAAATGATGTAACCCACAGAGTAGTTGGAGCTTTATATGAGCTGTCAGAACATTTGTTTCCCACCAGTTTGTTCCCTGAATGCCCCCCATGTGTTAGCATACATTCAAATAAAAAAGCTGAGATTTTAATACAATTAAAAATTTTAAGTTTTAGTTAACCAAACATATTATATTTTTATGTACGGGGAAAAAAAAACACCAATCACTGTTTAAGTTTTTCTACTTTTGTCACATTTCTTTACCATGCTGTCAGTTAGCATGCTTGTTAGCTAGGTCAGTACTGGGACAAAAGATTTTCCTGCTGTATTAAAAACACTTGCACGGATGTAATGGTTCATGTTACCAACTGGCCATTCTTCTTTCCAGAGCAGTTTATGCTCCAATGGACTACAACAGTTAAAAGTGCAATTTGTTGCCAATAAGGTGCACACGACTCTTCTACTTCTTTTGGCTTTTGCCTCTCGTCACTGCAAGTCGTCCTCCTCCATCTCACTCTGTCCTCACTCAAGTTACCTCCATGTCCTCTCACACATGCACAAGTGCACGACTGTGGAGGATGGAATGTGACAAAATTAAATAATAGAAATGTGTTATTTTTTTTCCGAAAACTACATTTAATTATTTAACGTCAATGTTTAAAATGTACATTTATTTATTTAATGGGACATTTAATTAATGAAGTGTGTATTTGATAATTTAATTGTATATTTATTTATTTGATTATGTATTGAATAATTGAATGATACATTTAATTATTTAATGGGCATTTATTGGTACATTTATTTATTAAATTGGACATTTACATTTATTTATTTCAT